TATTTTCAGTTATTTCTCTTGACCTTGAAAATTCTTCTACCCTTTAGCATTTTTTTCCAGGAAATGTGGGAAGAATCTTCAAAATGTTCTTTCCCCCCCCCCCCCACCACCAGCTTTTTCTTGAAAATCTAGTTTTCTTTCTAGCTGGTGGTCTGGCTCTTCAGGAAGACATTTCTCTAAAACTCTTTTGTCTTAAAATACTGAAGGTAGAAAAACAGGAGCTGTTTATTTCCTCCATGTTCTCCCCCAGGCTCGGTTTTTGGATCAGATGATTCTTTACTGTAGGTCAGAGACTTTCACTGCGGTAGAAATGAGTCAGTTTGACTTCTCTTATTTGAAGACTGCAGATGTCTGTCCTCATTGTAAATGGATTCCAGATTTGCTGAAGAGTTCTGAATGCTGTTCAAGACATGTTCAAGGGTTCCTGTAAAGACCGTTCTTCTCATTGATTTTAGGGCCATTTATTTTTGGAGGAGAGGGCAAGCTTTTATTGATTTGGTCATTGCCCAACAATTTTTTTAAAAAGAGAGAAAAAGCAAAGAAAAATCTCATAAAGTGTAACCAAGGATCTATGCAAGAATCTGTTTTGTGGGTAACCCTGAGGGGCGGCATTTTTCCCCAGTGGCTGTTTGGTGGCACGAGAAGTCGGATTGTGGAATGATGTCTTCTAGGGTTGCGCTAAATTGGTGAGAACTTGGTCAAATATGATTTATTTTTTTCATTTCTAAGGCTACCTAGTGACTCACGTCAGCCCACCAAGAGGATTAAGAACACACCATAACAATATAAAGAAGAAAAATAGTAAACAGCTACACCAGGGGAATACAAAAACTTAACGTTCTAGTGGATTCACAAATTGTCCCAGCCCAGGGTCTGCGGGAAGAGCCAAGGTTTTCTCTTGAAGATCCCATGGACAAATCGCATTGGTGGCCTTTACCCCCTGACCAGATTTACTGTTTACAATAAGTTATAATATGGTTTATTTACTTTATGGACTGATATAAATACTTGCAATCAGTTTCTTGTTTTTCAAGAGCCCAGTGCTCCCTAAGTAGCATGTAAACTATGTAAACAGTGTTTCTCAACCTTGACAACTTTCAGATGTGTGGACTTCAATTCCCAGAATTCCCCAGCCAGCAAGGCTGGCTGGGGAATTCTGG